TATTATGTGATTATCAAATGCATGTCACGGGCTTTATTGGTTAGTTATCTCTCGTGCATTTTTTTTTTTTTTTTATACCAAAAGTGTCCACTGAGTAAACCTTCAGTCAAACCTACTGCTCTGAAATGAATTAGTTGCTCCTACCTCTCACCAGGCCCTGCCTTGTATTCTACTTCGAATTTTTCTATTTAAATTTAAATAACCGACGGGAAAATCACGCTAGGAGAATCATGTGTGGCAGGTGACCTGAGATATCGGGGATTTGAACCCATGACCTCACGATCACAAGTTCAATCCCTACACCACCAGACCCTCTCTTACGAGACTAATGTACTTTGGATTCTTGATCCACCAGCTTAGCGCGCCAAGAGGCAATAAATGTACGTGATAATGATATATGTATATACATATATAATTTATTATGATTGATCAAATTAATCATACATACAATATTCTATTAGCCTATAAATAATCGGCTCTCAGTGTAATAGTATATATCCACATGTAAAAAATATATTACATTCTACATAGCCATACAATACCAGTGTGTATACTATACTTGATAGGATGCGATCATATACTGATCGTGTGGTAGATAACACAGAAAAATATTTTATAATCCTATCTTATCGTCTATAGTAAACATGCCCTATATATTAATCTTATTTAGGTGGTTTTTAAGGAGGTTTGGTGTCAACCTACAATTGGGCAACCACTGCTCTGCGATCACCTTAAAAGCATTATACAGAGCTACTGTTCTGTTCAGTTTCTGTGCAATATACAATATACAATCAACAGCGACTACTCCTACAGCATTTTCATTAAGTGACTAGTATTACTATTAATATTAGTATTATTGAGATATTTAATTAGTTGTTTAGTTTTGGATTGAATTTAATTGTTTTATGATTTGAGTTGTTTAGTTTTGGATTGAATTTAATTGTTTTATGATTTGAGTATATATAATCAAATGTTATGTCTATTTATAAATTTCTATTTCCATTATTATTATATTTTTATTTTCTAGTTCTCAATCAAATTTCTTTTTATAAAATATCAGAGATTACTTGAATAATATAGTTTACTAACTCATATTTTTTTTTAAGTACATTCAATAACTCAGAGGTTTTCTAAATTTAAAATTTTTATTTATTTATTATTATTTTTTTTTAAGAACGTCAACAAAGGTCTCCTAATTTTTAGATTTTTGTTTTGAATTCTTGCATAATCGAAAGTCTTTCAATTTTGAAATCCGTCAGCAATTGGTCGGACTTGTCATAGTTACGTACAAATTGCTGCTCCCGATTGGGTTGAGAGTATTTTGTTTTCGACTCTATTGAGAGTTTTGTCATTTTTCGAATCCAGTGAGAATCCCGTTGTTTTCGACTCTAGTGAGAGTCTCGTTCTTTCCGACTTCGTTGAGTGTCCTATCATTTTCGACTCCGTTGAGAGTTCTAATATTTTTCGACTCTAGTGAGAATCCGGTCATTTCTAACTTTGTTTCTGACCCTAATTTAATTGAAGGTACTTCTTCTTTTGATTCTGCTACAATAGACAATTGTGATTGCGCCATCTTCAATATCTCTTTGCAAATTCAAGTTATTTTTCCTATACAATTTAACTTTAAAAGAATGTTAGAAATATTTAATTAGTTATTTAAGTTAGATTAGATTAATTCATGTTATTTTTTTTAATACCATTTGACCTTGAAATGATGTTGAAATATTTAATTAGTTATTTAAGTTTAACTTAGATTTAATTATTTTAAATTTAATTTTATTAATTAAGTTAAATTGTTATGTCTTGAATGTATCGTATCAAATTTAGTCGTTTTCCTTTGAGAGTACTATGTTTCAGCCGTCTACACAATTTATATCACAAGTATGAATATTGATATTTCTATTAGTGTTTTATAATACTAATACGATGATATTGGTACAAATTATTTTACAAATATAAATATATTTTGAATATTAAATATAACGACGCAAAAAGATAAATGTAACGCTTAGGCGAACGGAGGAAATATTATTTTTTAATCTATTACAAAACTCCAAAAGATCTTTTTCATTTGGGACAATATTTGTTTTTAGAAGCATTGGAGTTTTAAAATTAATACAAAAAATTAAATATTTCATTTGGTATTTTATAAAAGAATATATACTCCATGTACTGTTTTCTAAATATATTATTGTAATTCCTCCGTCCAAACTCAAACTCAAAGTACAATTTTTACTATTTTCGTCCGTTTCACTTTAGAGTATTTCTTTTCTATTTTAATAAAAATAATTATATACCAATACAAAAATACCCTTAAATTTTATATAAATTACAAACATACGACAAAAATATCAAAAACCTCTTACACACTTCCACTAACTAATAAAATACTATTATTTCATAATCTATTACAAAATTTCAAAGAACCCATTTGGATCGGGTCGGAGGGAGTATATGATCATATCAAAAATAAATTTTTTTGATTTGTGTAAACAAAATCATATACCTTATTCATTCATTCATTGAGTCATTTTATGAGAGGGATATCACCTAGTAGGAGACAGAAGAGTACACTGTGAATTTGCATATCCCGACTCATTGAATTTATTGAATAAAATTTTGTATATAATATACAAAACAGTAGTACCGGATTGTAACTAAAAGAAATTGAATACTAAAATAATGCTAAAAACAATATTATACAATTGGAAATAAGAAAGCCAAAACAAACGGGATCAAACCAAATATCTCCAGGTCCACTTGTACAATATTAGGTTCGCCGAGTGTGATTTATCTTATCGGATCTAATTTATATAATATTAGATTCGACCGGGGGTTTAGCTAGTGTGCACTTTCGGCTGCCGCGGCGGGTTCACACGTATAAAAAAACAAAGAGGATCAAGCCTAATTGAATTGAGATAACTTCCTGGTCGTCTTCTTCTCTGTTCGGTCATTCAAATCCCAAATCGAGATTCAACTATGACGACTTCTGCGGGACAACGAGGGACGGGCTTTGAGACATGTTCATCTCCTCTGACAGCATCCTCTTCCGGTCAGTAATGTATATCAAAATTAGTTTTCTGACCAGTAGTAATTAATTAATTAATCTAGGTAGAAAACAGAGAGGGGTTTTAATTGAGCGGTTTCAGCAATTTTAAATAAATAATTAATTTGCAACAAAATTTGGCCCTCTCGTCTCGTCGTCATCATAAGTTTTATTATTAATTTGGTCTGAAAGAAGGAATAATCAGAGGTGGCATAGGACAGATGCTGCAGGAGAATTGAAAAGGTCCATAAGGAAATATGTAGCGTGGATATGATATTATAATATAATATATCCACACAATACATTCGTTCTATCAACCATCTGTTAGGTGGCTACACACTTAGGTATACGAACTCAGACTAACATGAATGCCCATGTCACCACCATCATCATCATGCATTTTACTTTACCATTCAGATTTCAGACTAAAACGACTTATTATTTTATTTTTTATTATTGATAACGCGAAAATATGCGGCCGTCAAACTCTGGCCGAACCTAATATGTGACACGTGAATCTGAAAACGTCGGAGTTTGAATTCATGATGTTACGATCACAAGTTCACTACACACCACCACGTTATCGCTTTCAGAACAAAACAACTTATTATTTTACTTGCATGGTTTGCAGGTAGGGCCATAGTTTTATTTTAAAACCCTGAGCAAAAACAAATATAGATCCTATAAATATATAATACAATGTATTTTTAAAATGATATGATCGACATCTATAATATTAAATTTTATAGCAAATTTATTAATTACTCTACTTTGGGATTGAATTAGCTAATTAATTTTTTTTTCTTTCTGTATTTTTCATATTCCTACTCATATTTCTTTTAAGAAGGTATAATTTATTTTGTTATTTATAAATTGTAACAAATAAAGAATAATAAAACCGTAATTGAAATGAAACATCAAGGCGGCGTCGTCAGAGCAACACGGGGCAGCGTTGGTAAGAATGGTAAGAATGATGAAGAGCGGGAAAGACATATGTTTGATGCCATTCTGATACATAAAACACAGTAGCATCCGTTCCGTGTCAATTGGTTTGATGAGGATGATGTGTGTATATATATATATATACTGATGTTGACGTTGATCAAGTGAAGTGAACAACTTAACTTGCTTAGCTTTTAATTTGCTAATTAGATCTGAAGAGAACAAGAAAAGGAGCCGATCGAGCCGCCTAACCAGCGACCCTAATATAATATATATATATATATATATATATATCTTGGACATACACACACGTAGCTAGTATAAATGCTAGTGTAGTAAGAAATCTCGGCCTGGCTTAACTTTCTGATCAAGGCAATTAATTAATTAAACTCAAGGCAGGGGCAACGCACAAATCAAATAACTTGTTGATAGTTCAACTACCAATCCACACACACACACGACTAACACACATATATATATATCATTAATTGTTAGCTAGATCTTATTATAAATGAAATAAATAAAATACATGATAATGAAAAGACTAGGGTGTGTCTGCTTGAAAGATTTGGAATTTATATTATTCGTACAATTTTTTCTCAAAAATATTAAATTAAATATTTATTTTTTATTTTTTATATTATATTAAAAATCAAATTTACATTCAAAATATCACGTCAATACTTGTTTATATAAAATTCAAACCCCACGCACTCACCTCACTTCCACCCTCCTGCTTATAGCCTTATATTACCAATCAAAATTCCTCTGGATATATATACATACATATATTGATTCATCCAATTCCTGCAACACAAATATTGTACATATATATATATAAAACACAAGGAAGGGTAGAATAGTAACTTTATAAAATAAATCTTGACTATGATTAGAAGACAGGCGCAATCCATTGGGTCCCCAGTGTTTCTTGGGTCTTTTGTTCCCAATTTTACACACTAAACTTTCTTCTCTCTTTGGATGTCCGCAACCATCTCTCTCTCTCTCTCTCTCTCTCTCTCTCTCTAACAATCTGCCCACATTCATTAATCAAATTTCTTAGATATTTATTTATTATAAACCTGTATAAATACCCCACACATGCAGCCAGTCTTTTATATCATATGCCCTAGCTGGATCACTTAACTAGCTGAGCTGCTGCTCTAATTTTATGCCTCACTTTCACTTTCACCTCCAAACCCCCCCTCTTTCTCTCTCTCTCTCACACACACACACACATACAAGACAGATCGATATATTCATAAATATATGTATGTATGTATAGCATGGCGGAACTGGACTGCCCAAACAAGGCCAGCACAATTAGTAATAATGGGCGCTTAAAGCTCTTTGGCTTCGACGTGATCGAAGATCAAGAAGAGGTAGTTGACTCCTCCACCACCACCAAGACGCCATCGCCATCGGGATCGATATCGCCGTCCTCCGACGGGCACGGGCGGAAGTATGAGTGCCAGTACTGCTGCCGTGAATTTGCCAACTCACAGGCCCTCGGCGGCCACCAAAACGCCCACAAGAAGGAGAGGCAGCAGCTCAAGCGGGCTCAGCTGCAGGCCAGCCGCAACGCCGCCGTCTCCTACATGCGCAACCCTATGGCATCGGCCTTCGCCCCTCCCGCACACCTTCTCGCCGTCGTTCCCGGTCCTTCCCCGGGCCCGTCGTGGGTCTACGTCCCACGCGCGCATGGGAGCGTGTTTCCGTCGACCTCGAGGGCCGGGAGCTGCGTAGTTGGTGATTCCAGCCTCACCACGAGTAGTGTCGGGCCCGGGTCCCACCCGCACCCGCCGATCAAGGCCCAGCCCCATAATGGAAGAGGAGGAACACCAATTGCAAGACTTGTTGATACTCCAGGCTCAGGCTCAGGCTCAGGCCCAGCCACCTCCCCCCCGTCTCTTAGTAGATTCTCAAGACCCGATGATCAAGACGGGATCGGCCTCGGCCTCGATCTGCACCTTAGCTTGGCTCCAGCCGCGCCGTGAGCCGCCAATTTCAATTTGTCCCCCAACCCCACTAGATGACCGATGGATGGATGGATCTTAACTAGGCTTAGCTATCTAGCTAGCTTGCTTTGTACATTTTCATAATTATTTATTTATTTATTTTTCCACACTGAAAACCTTTTTCCTGCTGCTATAATCCACCGATTTCCGAGTTCTAGATATATTCAATGTCCTGTAATTCTAATTCCAGTCGCATTTGGATCCGTGTACATACATTTATGATCAGTATAAAATGATTAGATATTGTCCCAGAATATACGAAATGTGAATGGCTAAAAATGCGGTGTCTACATATGTATATATGCATGCGTATTTGCTTCAAAAGTTTAATCTAATGCCAGAACAAACTCAGGTAGTAATACTAATAAATTAGGATCAAGCATTCAAGCTAGCTAGCTCTAGCTGCGTTTGACTACTCATTAATTATCAATCATCAATATACACTTGGAAAAACTTTTTAAGGCAATTGAATTGAATTGAAAGTTGGATCTAGCAAAATTAATTACACTTATATTGTTTGTAGGAAGGTTGTAGTACTTCATCTGAATTTTTAAAATTTTCTGTCTTTAGATATTTTTGGACCAAGTCTTGTTTCTCGATCTTACATATATAATTATTTAATTCGAATAAGGACGTGATATTTGGGTTTAATTTTTCATATATACTTTGTCTGTTTGGCAATGTTTACCAAACGGTCGTTAAAGTGTATGTATATATTTATGCGATTTGCACATCGGCTATATTTATGAATGTTGACTTGGACATCTCTATATATAGCTAGGCCAGGTAGAAGACTTGAAAATTGATTGGGTGAATTATATGCAATATGGAGTGATGATTAATTCATGTTAATTGAGTTAATTAATTGAATCTATAATGTATGATGATTGAATGTGGTGTAATGTAATGTAATGTATGTAGCAAGTGACTAAAAAGGAGCGTGTCTGTGGGTGGGGGAATTAGATAAAAAAATCTTTTCGTTTAGTGGAGACAAGAAAGGAAATGCAAGAGAAAGGTGAATGTGTACGAGTAAATTAAGCCCAAAAATTCAAACAAGATTAGGGATTAGTTGGGAAAAGAGATTTGGAGTAATGGCCACTAAAATAGGTAGGGTGACCAGGTTTAGTTCACATTATTTATATTATTATGTGGCCAGCAGAGATGTGAACAGCCAATGGAATTGTGTGTTTGAAGAAGCTTACGTGTAAGCACGAAGACAAGAAGGAGATAATGCATTCCAAGAGTGAACCACCAAAAGCAGCCAATCCACCCTTGCTAGCTAATAAAGTTAAACATTTCATATATTTGATCAACAAATTAAAATCTTTCTGCATAAGAAAACAAATCAAAGAAAAGAGAAGGGACTACTGGGATGGGATGGGAAGAGAATGGTCAAATGGCACCTTCTTTTCGGTGCAAAGCCAGGCTTAAAAATTGTTCGTGTGTGTGTCTTGTCTATCAGTCGGTGACTTATATTAATTATTTATTTATTTGATTTGCATGTCCTCTTAATGTTGCCTTTCGACATGCATCCAAGCCGGCCTTGGCCCGGGGAGAGGGGCGTCCAATATATTCATCAAATATTTTAATGTTATATATCTATAGTTATTATATATAAAATTTATTTAATTTATTTTTAATTAATGTAATTTGATGGTGTAAGATTATTTTGTAAGGGTAGAGTTATGGTTCTAATTGATAGAATTACAAAAAAATTTCAATACTAGTTTTGCATCTAAAAATAAAAAAATATTTTATTTAATTATCTAATTTTTTATTATAAATAAAAAATATTATTTATATTTACTTAAAAGTTGTTGTTTTTGTTTTGTCCCGAACCTTTTGAAAGTCAGGACCAAAACTGCATGTATCCCATCGATTTTCAAATATAATGTGTCATAGTGCATTCACACATCACGCACGCCAATAAACACCCACACCCACTCATGTACGTTCTTGTTTAACATCTCTCTGTATGTGGGTTTTTTTTTTTTTTTTTAATTTGAATGATATATATATATATATATGCATGTATCAATCATTATCGAAACATGCCCACAAATAAGGGTATCATAGGAACATGATATGTTTAACTAGCCAGATAGAGGACGAATTATTTATTGGTGTGTTTTATCGAATATTTTAGAGGATTTCTACTATATTCCATTTTTATTCTAATATCAAATTAAAATATTTATTTTTTCATATTAAATTAAAATAAATTTTATATTCAAAATATCAAATTAATACTTATATATTTATATTATGTCAAATAATTATTTTAATTTAAAATTCTATTATTTAAAACACAAATATAAAAATCAAACCTTCAAACAAATCAACACTATATATATATATATATATTATATGCTGATAACCTTGGAAACTAACTAGGGTGTAGATGTAGTAGGAGTGTAGGGCCAAAAGGGATTCATATAAGTTAATGTCAAGGGACACTCAAGAGAATAAATTAGTAGGGTTTAGTTTGGATTGGATGCTTTTCTTGTCAAGTGAATATATTTATTTAATTATTTCTAGGACAATGAGATGATCTTTGCTAAAAAGAAAAGGGATTCGCTTGCACAATCACAGATTCTTGAAAAAGGAACTTGTGGACTTGAGGAAAAAGTTTTGTTCTTTTGACAAATATGCTAAGTGGTTGGGTTGGGACGGCAATAATCAAGCAAATAATTGCAGCTAGCTAGATCGAAATCAAATTATATCAATTAATCCGAAATTTTCTCTCAAGAAATTAATGCAGTAGTAGCTGTTGGGATGGGGCCCTTGAAGACTGCTGCCAGTTAGTTTAAATTTGAATTAATTAAGCCATATTGATGTGTGATGTTTGTTATGTGTATGAACATCCCACTTTCAAATGAAGCGATCATCAATCGTATATCATATATGTGACAGAGAAAGGTCAGCTTTGATTCAGAACTGTAGATTATAGGGACCAACCCCTCTCTATGCCGACAGTGTCAGCCAGTCAGTGTGGTGTGAGTGTGAGTGTTTGGTAATGAAACTGTATGTTGTAGTGATGAAAACTCTTTTACATGATGGGGTGGGTCGTAGGTGGTGGTTCAGATGATGTCTTTAGTATTTGGTGAGGGCTAGCTAGCTTCCTCAAAGTCTGGCAATCATTTTCATCTCATATATCTATATCAATACCTATATACAAATATGCATATAAATCCTGACTCTGTTTCTTTAACTTAATTTTTTTTTAATTTTATTATTTTGATTTTGCATTAAAAAAAAAATATTATTTTTACTTCTACATAATATTGCAAATGGGGACGGTGGAACTCGAAACCTAATCTAACTTAAGCTTTAATACCACTTCGGATGCTAATGACCGTTTCACATAAAAATTCGAACGGTTAGGAAAACTAAGTCCTTAGTTCTATATCCGCAAACGAGAGTCCCAACAATGTACGCATATCTAGTGAAATTAAGGCAAATTAGACAACTATATGGAAAAGCCGGAGTTGATAATTATAAGTTGCGGGAGGGTACGGTATCAATATCATGTATGTGACTCTATATATATATATGTTAATGTTAACATGTTAATTCACAAAGCTACTTGCAAAATATATATATATACATATATATATATACATGTTAACACTACTTGCATTGCATTGAATGTGTCCCCTAATTAAGACTACACTATCATTTCTTAATTATTTTAGCTCCACACACTGACACATAGAGAGAGAAGAGAAGAAGTAAGATACTGCCAAATATACAAGTTTTGGAGTAAATCTTGGCATTGATAGTGGATCAGATTCTCCCCTAAGAGTCAATTAAGGCACTTCAATTAACCTCCGCTGCTTTTTTCCTCTGTACGTAATTACTAACTCTTCTAGGACGTAGAATTCGGTATTGGGTACCGAAAGTCACACTAGTTGAACCATATACGACAGATAAATTTGGTGGTCACAAGTTCACTTTCCATGTTACCTCAACCATTCTTACGGAAAAATAAAACATATCTCTCTCTATATATATTATATGGGGAGAGAGAGAAGGGGGTAGCACTGAGCACTTATTGAATTGATTAAATTAAGCCGCCCCACTACGAAGTTGGGCTGGTGGCCTCCACTCTTAACTATTATTACATACATGGCCTGATGGCCTCCACACACACGCACAGTATATACATATATAATAAAATATAGCTGTGCGCTTAGGTTTCAAGATATTGAATCATAATAATGTTCATTCGATATGCATAATTACCCGAATAGTACTGAGAGTGGAATGGACCATATATATAACTTAATTATTTTTTTCTTTTTTCTTTTTAAAAGCAAGGGGTGGGGTTGAATAAATTCATACTCAGTTTTAGTTTATGTTTCATGGATCATTATCTAGACATGATTTGTATAATAAAGTAATATGTATTAAATGATTAGGTCATGGTCCATTTACGACAGAGAGACGGAGACCATTTAAATATAAATATGTAAATATAGCCCCTCCCCTTCTACTGCGCGCATATAATTATTTATTATTGAAATTTCACCATCTTTTCTTCTTTAGAAATTAGTCTGCTAACATAACATTGTACAAGCACACTATTATTTTTCTGTAATTCGTGATAGTTAGAAATTAGTTGCGTTAAATGCATATATTATATGCGATATTTGATTGATTTTGATTAGATTCTACCTAATTTATATATGTATTGTTTATTTACTATATGCACATGACAAATATCAAATTTGGCGTAATCAGTAGAAAAAAAGTAAAGAAAATTCAGATTTGCACCACCTAGTTAGTCATGGCCATGATTACCTATGTCCTCTTTACATGAAAATTTAATTAAAGGCCCAGTCCAGCTACAAAATAATTAAGGCAAAAATTAAATAAAAAGGAGGATCACACGTTTGAGAAATGGGAGGACGGCCAGAGTAGATACGTACAAGAGCAGAAGACTCTTCTGACATACTCGTAGATCACGTAAGAGCAAATCGATTCTCTTTTGTTCTTTGTTATTTGATTATGGGGCAGATACTTTTCTGGTTTGAGGGGTCATAATATTTTGGTTGTTTTGTTTTGGAAATTCTTAATTTTCTTTATAAAAGTTCTTTTTATTATCAATATTTGTCTAATGAGAATAACGTTTGTGATTGTTAGGTTGATTGAATATTTTGGTACTGATATTTGAATTGGTGTGATAATCTAAAGTCAATTCAGGTAGGATATCCGTAATTGTATTCGCACTTAAATAGGTGACAAC